ATTATATAAGTGGCTGGAGTTGAGGCCCAGCAGACTCCAGCCAGACTTCGTGAAGAAAGGCCTACAGTCTATTCTTACCGTCCTGCTCAGTGCTTTCCGCACACTCCATGGAAACACGGTCGTCAGCAGGAGGAAGATTTGGGAATGAGCGTAACAAACGTTGAACTGTGGGTTTTACTGTTGCCTTCGGATGTATCTCTGGAAAGCATCCACCTCTCCACTTAAGTCACCCCATCTGTGCAATGGGTACAATAACACTGGCATGGATCCTGGACAATATAACCAATAGGTTACTTGTGTTCCTGTGGTCTGGCACATTCTGCTAGAAAGAAGCTTTTAGGTCAATTCTGACTCCGTGGCTTTTCAGTGGAGGCCTTCACTGTTTGCTTTGGCAACAGTGGGAAATGTGGATGGGAAGGTGAGTGATCCTGAGTCAGCAAAATACTTCAGAGTCAGGAGCAGCATCAGCTCTGTGACTCCCGTCCCACTGTGTTCTCCTTGTGCACAGATTTGAGGTGACCCTTGACTGCCCCAGGCTCCCCTCTGCACTGACCCCCCTCCTCTCAACACACCAAGGGCAGTGGAACCAACCCCAGCACCCAGTTGGCCAGAAATCGCAGAGAGCCTTGCTCAGTCTGCCACAGCCTCTCCATCCCCAGGGATGCAGCAAACATCCTGCAGAACTGTGGTCCCCACCTGGGAGCCAGCAGACCTGGGTTCGAGATCATGCTCCCCACCCCTACTCATCAGCATATGACCTTAGGAAAGTTCTCAATCCCAGATAAAATGAGGGCTCTGAACTGAATGACCTCTAAAGAACTTCTGCCTCTCACTTTCTAAATCCTGCTGAGCTGACCCACCCCAACCCACCCCCAGTAGATGTCCTCATATTACATCGGTTATTTCTCCCCATTTGGGTCTTCAGCCTCCCTCCCTTTCTATCTGCTCCCTCTTCTTAGTGTGGAAATGCATCCCAGTGGCCCCATTCTAAACCACCAGGCAATCCTCACCACCCCCAACCACCCGCTCTGATGGATCCTGCCTCCCGTTCTAGCTGGTGGTCAAGAGCCACCCCTAACTGTTCTGGCAAATGGGCCTGAAGTAGTTTGCTCCTGGAGCCCAAGGGAGCCTTCCTCTGCACAGAGCCCTCCGAGGAAGAGTCCCGGAGAAGTCTGCATCTCAATCCAGCTCACCCCGGCCCATGCTAAGAAATGTAACCGGAGGACCCCAGTGTTCCTCATTTCCGTGTCTCAGAACCTGCTTGGCACAGAATAGCAGACTCCTTGTCACGTGTTCTGAGTTATAAGAAAAAGCAGCAAGGAAAGAAGAAGGAATAGCCACTGCTGGAAAACCACTGCCTCCCTCTGCTTGGAAAAGCTGGACCTTGCAACGAGGCCCTGCTTGATTCCCTCCCCCCAACCCCACCCCCAGTGAACCGGGCCCTAGAGTTTTAATCTATTGGACTCTTGACCGCCAGCCTAGAATTCAGGGCTTGGGAGAAAGGAAAGCTTAAATCATATTTTCTGGCCATGGTTTCCTCTTTCTCTTCCCTCTTAAAAAAAAAAAAATAATAATAAGGGGGGGCAATTAAGAGGCTGAGGTTTAAAACCTCCCCAGAGGTCAAACAAATTGCATTTTTGCTACAAAGAGGGGGAGGAGGAGGGGAGGGGCAGATGGTAAATGGGCTGCAGAGCCCCTTCCGGTGATGTCTTTCTGGGGAGGGGGGAGTGGGGGGACCCAGCTGGCAAAACTGCCGCTGCACAGGGGCAGCCCCTCCGGTGGGCAGATCCAATCGCAAATAGAGAAACAAGACGTGCCAGCAGGAGCCTCACCAGCTGGGAAATTATTTCCTAATAAAACTACAAAGGGAAGGACGATAACTGGGCACTGCTGACAAGTATTGTTGTCTTGTATCAAAATCTCTTTATAAACCTGTTTGAAGAACAGAGCTGGCTTCTCTTTGAAGTCCCAGTTCAAAGCCGTTGACTTGCGGGGTTCGCCGCCACGGTGGGGGATGGCAGGGAAAGAAGTCAGGAGGAACTGAGCCAACTCGGTGCAAATTCAGAGCTCGGCACTCTAGGGCAGTTTCGGGGTGAGATTTTCCGTGGAACTCCCGGTTATTAATGACACACACACACACACACACACACACACACACACATGCACTGAGCACCCCTCTGTGCCAGGCGCTGTCTGCAGACGATCGCATCGCACACGACAACCCTAGTTGGTAAGTGCTGTCACCCTCATCTCAGAGATGAGGGACTGGGGCCTGGATTCTCAAACCCACTCGTCCTCCGGTCCCTGAAAGTCTGGCCATCTGTGCCAGCTTGCCACAGGGACCCCGACGGCCAGTTCTGTGGTCAGCAGCACCAAGCTGCGGGAGTCGGGACCAGGATGGAAAAGGAAAGTAATTCCACCAACATCTCCGTTCAGCCTATGTAAGACTTCAACACAAGCTCCGTGGGTAGAGACAGTGGGCTCCTGCTCGCACGGGAGGGAGCCTTCCACCCCGATTTCCCTGCACCCAGGTGAAAACCGAAGCCCCATGGGCAGGAACCTGGACCCATCCCGGGGGAGAAGAAAATCTACTAGTAAGAGGTTGAATTGTGTCCCTCCCATGAAAGAGGGTGAAGTCCTAACCCCCAGGACTCTGAATGCAGCCTTATTTGGAAGGGAGATCTTTGCAGCTGATCAAGGTAAAATGAAGTCCATAGAGTGGTCCCTAATCCCACGACCGATGTTCTTATAAAAGCAGGAAATTTGGATGCAGAGACAGACACACACAGAGGGAAGATACAGGGAGATCATCAGAAGCCTAAGAAGGCCTGAGACCACTGGAAGCAGGAGAGAAAGACCTGGAAGAGAGTCTCCTTCATGGCCTCAGATGGAACCAATCCTGCTGACACCTTGTTTTTGGATTTCTGGCCTCTAGAACCATGACCCAATAAGTGATTCTAAGCCACTCAGATTGAAGTACAGTTGACCATTGAACAACTCCGAGACTCAGGGCCACCCGCCACCCAAGCAGGTGAAAATCTGAATATAACTTTTGACTCCCCCAAAACGTAACTACTCAAAGCCTACTGGTGAGCAGAAGCCGTCCTGATAACGTAAACAGTGATTAACACGTATTTTGCACGTTAACTGTATAATATACTTCATTCTTACAATCAAGTGCGCCAGAGGGAAAAAATGTTACTAAGGAAGTCGTAAGGAAGAGAAAAGACATTTACAGCATTGTACCATATTTATGAAAAAAAAAGTCTGCATAAAAGTGGATCCCCGCTGTTTGAACCCGTGTTGTTCACGGGGCAGGTGTACTTGGTTACGGCAGCCTCGGGAAACGAGCACATCCCCAACCTTAGAAACACCTGCAGGGTGCAGGAGGAGGACAACTGTCTGATATTTCTGGAGGCTGCAGAGCAGAAGAGGGTTTCGCTGCAGGTGCTGCTGCTCCAGGGCAGGAATATGGAAGGTGGAAGAGCTGGTTCACACCCAGAATAGAGACAAGACTTACGTCCCGACCACAGGTCACCCCCACTTCCCAGCTCCCCATCATGCCTGATTGGGCTCTGAGTTCTCCTTATCCGGATGCCACTCTCTTCCCCTCTGCCCTCCCTCTCCTGGTACCTCCTCCAAAGGCAGACTCCTTGGTTCTCAAATCGGTGACTTTCCAAGTGGTGAGCTTGGACCACCAGCAGCAGCACCTGGGAGCTTGTGAAAAATGCAAGTTCCCGGGCCCCACCTGAGACTTTCTGCATCTTAAGCACTTGGGAGCGGCGGGGTTGGGGGAGAGGGGGAGAGAGTAGGTTGCAATTTAAGGAGACCACCACAGCATTCTGATGTTTGAGAAGCACTGTTGAGCCAAAGGTGGCCTGAAACTGGGTGTTGTTTTCCCTGAGATCACAGTGACGGTACAGGGGCGCTAGGAACCAACTGTTCACCCAAACATGCATGTCTCGTCAAACTCCTTGTTCATTTAATTGACTGGGAAGGTTAGTGAATGGCAGCAGGGTGTCAGGACAAGACTTTTGAGGACCTCTTTAGGGTGTCTCCTTGAAGATATGCTTGACCTCTATCTATTAAAAAGCTCAGAGTTTTTGATTTTACAATGCAAGATCATGGGTCTTACGACCCTTGGACTGTGGATAACATAGCTCCGGAATGAGCTCGGGGATCTCTCACAAGGTCCACACAAGACAAATCAAGTGAGTCCTCTTGCCTTAAGGGGATATAAGAAATATCAGAGTTTGTCCTTCTATCTTTCTGGTATAAATCGATGTGAGCCTCTCTAGGCTGGATAGGACGTTTTGGGCTCCCCTGTGTACACGTAGCTCTGATAACGCTCACCCAAGGACACCATTGTGTTCCCTCTTTCGCCTTGTAGGAATGGAATTTGTTGGCAGCACTGGTGTGTTTCCCTAACACACAGGCAACAGTTGGTAAATAGTCTGCCGTTCTTTTGCCTCGTCATCCAAGCCTGCAGGTGGGTTGGGGTCAAGGAGGGAAGAGGTGAAAGCGACTGTCCCCAAACATCTCTTCTCCAGAATTAATCCTTCCAAGACCTCACATCAGCCATGCATGCTTTCCCAGCATGGGTCTCCGATGGGCCCCCTTTGTGCAGCTCTTCCTTACTACTGCCTTGCCTGACCATGATCATCTTCTCAGCCTTTACTACCCTCAACACATTTCATCAATAAACAGGGAGTTGTCTGTTTTCATCATGTCCTCCCCCAACTTAGGATGGCAGCTCCAAGAGCCAGCAATGGGGTCTGTGCATTGCCATTTCCCCCAAACCTGAGCAAACACGTTGGAGGCATGCCACCATCCCCAGAAGTCCCCACCCTCCCTCCCTGAACCATCCATGCCATCCGGCTCCAGAAGAGCAGCCCACGCCGCCATGGTTCTCACCTTTTCTGAACACAACAGGCGGCAAAATGAGAGCCGTTCTGTGTAAAGAGCGCCCGTCAGGCCTAGAACATTAGAATGCTACCCACCCCTAGAGCCATCCAGGAGTCAGCTTCTTCCACAGGCAGCTTTCCGACTCATCAAAAATATTACCTCACACGCTTTCTCATGAACCTGCTGCCAAGGGAGCAGAGGCTGCAGCGTTGGGGCTGACAGAAAGACATGGCAAGGAGAAGGCAGGGCGTTGAGACGGGCATCTGTTGTCCCCAGCAGGTCTTCCCCTTGGCAGAGGATCCTTGAATCTGCTCTACTTCGTGCCATGCAAATGAGGTGCTGATGAGGTCACCACATTCTGCTGGATTATTATCTCTGACATTTTATTCATAATAATTATAGAGCCTTTCCACCTTCAAAGTGCTTTGCAAACAATAATTAATTAATTAACACTCATAACACCCTGGTGAGGTAGCTTAGTATTATTAATTTATCTCTACAGTATATTATTATCCATCATTTCCTCCCTCCCCCCCCCACACACACACAAAAACGACTGTTGAGCTTCTATGCCATGTTTCTAGTCCTTTCTGGGTCCATCCTCCCCATTTTCCCACCCGGTCTTCCTCTCTGCTCAGCCATGACGTACAGACGCCTCTTTAGATTTCAGGCCCTGTCCTCTACAAGCGATCACCCCGCTGGTCCTGACGTTGAGTTGAGGGCATGGATTCTGTTTCTCTCCTCCCCACACACACCCAAGCATCCTTTACTAATGCGATTCTTCCCTCCTTCCACCCTCATCCCCCACTACCACCTCTGCCTTGCCTCTGAGTCTACCCTGTTCCTGCTCTATGTCTCCCACATCCAACTTCGTGCTTTGATGACTCTAGCTCAAATGTGTCTCTAACACCCCTTCTCGATCTTGTCTTGGGCTCCATGCTTCCCGTCTCTACCTACTAACTGGCTCCCCATCCATCCTCCTGGTTATTTGGACTTTAATTACGTAAATCAGATTTCTCTGAGGGGTGTTTCAAGGAAGGTTATCATTTAACTCCCTCTCTCTGCTCCAGCTCCTCATTCTTTACCTCATTTTCTTCTTGGGGAGTCTTGTCCTCTCCTGTCTAATCCGGCCTCCGTCAGCCCATCCTTTCATTCGCTCGCTTGTTCCACACCAGGCCCCGAGCACCTGCTACAGGTGGGGCTCTACGCTCCTGCAGGGCAGGAGAGAGGACAACCTGGATGAATTAGGGCCCAGGCCCCATCCCCCAAAGAAGGTGAGAGATGCATGATGACAGGAGGATCCGAGAAGCTCTGTGGGAATTCAAGGTGGTGATTAATTGCGATTCCGCCAAGGAGTCAGAAGAGGGGAGGCGGCACAGAAATTGCCACAGAAGTGAGGACACTTGAAAGATGAGTGGGTTGGATTTTGCCTGGCAGAGGCAGAGGGAAAGGTCATCCCAGGCGTCAGGAACAGCGTGAATGAGGGGATGCGGCATGGGCTTGGATTACTCAGCCTCTGACTTCACCTTGAGCCATCTGTAGGAGATACTCCACTTCCATCAGTGACAGGAGAAGAAGGGAGGGGTGGAGGAGGGAGAGGAGAAGCGGGGGGAGGGGGTGAACACCACAAGCATGGAAGGGGCAATGATTTAACCAAAGATTTCATAGGGGGAGTGAGCAGGGATGATTCACCCCACATAGCAGGCAGCGTTTCTCTCCAAAAATCTCCCCTCAGCATTTTTGCCCTCTCCCTCCAAAGTCCCTCGAAAATCAACCAGATTGCTCTTTGCCTGGACTGCACAGCCTCCAGGGCCCAAGCCCCCGCCCCTGCAGATTTTCCCAGGCCGATTGTACACACCCTTTCACAACCCAGAGCTATCGTTATTTACGGCTCTTCCTCTGCCCTGTGTCCTCTCACTCTGTCTCCAGGGTGGCTGGGAGAGTGGGGGCTCCTGGGACCAGCAGGAGCTGCCCCTTTTCTGCAGCCACAGGGAAAGGAGTGAAGCAGGGACGCAGATGGGGTCCTGCCTCCAAGCTCACCTCCAGTCTCCACACGGCAGCCGGGCTCATCTTTCCAGAGCCCTGATCTGATTACATCACTCCCACTCCCCAGGCCAAGAACTCTCAATGGCTCCCATCACCTACCAGATAAACCCCGAACTAGGCCAATTCCTCCCCCCGGACCCCCACACTGCCATACATTCTAAACTCCACAGCTCTGCATCCTCTGTCCCAGGGTGCTCCACTCTCCCCTCTAGGGTTCTGTGTGTGTGTGTGTGTGTGTGTGTGTGTGTGCGCGTGCATTTCCCTCCACCTCTTTTCTTGCCACATATCTTCACATCTCAGACACCTGGCCCTTGCCTGTGATGGGCTTCCCTGGCTCCTCACAAGCTGACTTCCATCTACCTCCATCTTTGCCCCTGGCACTCTTTGGGTCAACCCCATATTTTTTAAAATTGTAGTAAAACACAAACAACATAAAATTAACCATCTCAACCATTTTTATTTCATTTTTAAATAAGAATTGCATAGATTTGAGGCATACAATGGGATGATTGAATATACAGAGTGAAATGATGACTACAGTTCAGCTCCTCACATAGTTATCTTTTTTGTACATGTGTGGTAAGAACACCTGAAATCTATTCTCTTAGCAAATATCCATATAATATATATATATTTATATATATTGGTATATATATACCACATCTAAGTTATCCATTCAATCATCAATGGACACTTGGATTGTTCCCACATCTTGGCTATTGCAAATAATGCTGCAGTGAACATAGGAACACAGGTATCTCTTCCAGGCACTGATTTCATATCTTTTGGGTTTATACGCAGAAGAGAGCCTGCTGGATCATATAGGGTAGTTCTATTTTTATGGAGGAACTTCCATACTGTTTTCCTGAATGGTTGCACCAATTTACATTCCCACCACGTGTAAGGGTGCCCTCTTCCCCCATGCCCTTGCCAACACTTGTTACCTTTGATCTTTTTTAATAATAGCCATGTGTGTGAGATGGTATCTCCATCTTAATTATTTTTACTGTACAGTCTCACAGTGTTAAATACATTCACATTGTTGTGCAAGCACTCTCTGGAACTTTTCACTTTGCAAAATAGAAAGTCTGTATCCATCGAACAACAACTCCCCAGGTCCCTTTGCCCCAGTGCCTGGCAACCACCATTCTACCTTCTGTCTCTACCGATTTGACTTCTTCTTTTTTTTAAAGATTTTATTATTTATTCATGAGAGATACAGAGAGAGAGAGAGAGAGAGAGAGAGAGAGAGAGGGAGAGACACAGGCAGAGGAAAAAGCAGGCTCCATGCAGGGAGCCCGATGTGGGACTTGATCCCAGGACTCCAGGATCATGCCCTGGACCAAAGGCAGGTGCTAAACCACTGAGCCACCCAGGGATCCCTGGATTTGACTTCTCTGGGTATCTCCAACCCCCACTCTTGATTGTGTTGGGTTTAGCATCAGAGTCTACCACTCCAGTATGTGCAGAATATTTTTATTTTAAGCATGTTAGTCCCATTCTGGACACCGGTCCTGCTGGGGTGGCAGAAATTTCAGCACAGTCATTACTGAGCCCACCTGCTCTGGAGGGTTGGACAATGATCAGGCCCTCCTCCATCACCAGACCACTGGGGAGCCCCTCCATTCACTGGTCAGCTTTTCCTGGTCCCTGGAGTCCTCTATTGCCTCAATACATATGGACCTTCAGGGTCAGTGGCTCCTCTGTTTCGAGGTCTCATTTGGGGAGTTCGAGGTGAAGCTGGGATCCCCTGTGCCTCATCAGCCTCTCAAGGTCTGCTTGTGATCTTTCTACATTTCCTGGTCTCTCAGTCTCCCTCCCTTACATCATGCTTAAAACCCTCTCTCACCCAGCCTCTGGCTCTTAGAGTCATCTCTCTCTGTCCTCCCGATGCCCTCAAAGGCCTCCCCTCTACCCCTGGGACCCCAGCATCCTTTCTTCAAAGAGCTTAGGAGTTTTACAAAAGCCTTTGACTTCAAGCAGCTTCTGTTTTCTGCCCTGGAAATATCCTGAGGCAAGGACAGGCGAAGAGCCAATCTACCTGTTGACCTGAGGGAACATAAAAATAGAACAAAATACAAAACAATCGCTCAAAGTATCATTTGCCATATTTATATATTTTCAAACTTTTTTCCTTTTTTCCTACTAGACTCAACCTACCTTCAGAACTAAGTATCATCTCTCTTTGTATCTCTACCATCTATCTCTACAACCACAGTAGCCTCTCAGTAAGCTTGGTGAATATAGGTGAATGAATGCATGACTTAAGCCATCTCAGAATTTTTCAGCCCCCAAACTTCTCTTTGCATAATACGTACACAGGTGCACCTAAGACCTGGTCTCAGGCTCAGGAAAGGGATATGTAAGTGCTATCCCACTACTGGCAATATTTATTTCCTCCTTGATTCTCCCAACTAGAAATGGATACACAATTCAAGATTTTAAAATAATAAAAAATATGTCTCATTTCAAAATCTTGATGTGTTGGGAGAGGGACAGAGCAGAGAAGCAATAGGATGTCCTCCCTCTATGGGGCAGCCTGAACCCACCACTCCACTCAGAACTGGTTTCCCCCCATGCTGCCCCATCTGGTACTAATCCAGGAAGGGGAGCAGAACCTACCAGGTTCTTCCTAGGGAGCCAGGCTCTGGGGAAAAAGTAGTAAGAGGGAGGAGGGAGAATGAATTAATCGATAAGGGATTTCCTGTTGAACATGGAACAAACCTGGACACAAGGGCATGAGGCCACTCCTTAGCAAATAAAGACCTGCTATTGATTACACCCAGTTGGGAGCCTGAGAACCCATGTCTTCTGGAACCTTGGCCAACTCAGATGTAAAGAAAGCTATACGGTGCTGTCAATCTTGAGAAAAAGCTCAACTCCAGCAGTGGGGCAGCATCCAGACAGGCTCTCTGGTCCGGCCATCTGGAATGGCTGGCTCTATTAACTGACCCCTGGTTCATCCTCTCTTATTCACTTCAAAGGATGCCCCATGAGGGAAAAGAGACAAAGGGCCGTCAAGGGGTTTGGGGGGAAGGGAGGAAACTGGCTAAATAATTAGCCCTCCAACCTTCAAAGTACTCTATAATCATTCATTAATCCACCCAACTGGGATCCGTGGGCAGATGGGCGCTCCCTAACCACCCTGACACACCCATTGCTAAATGGGGCCTGGGGCCTGAGTGACGCCTACAGGAACAGTTAGCTGGTGCACTCTGCACCTGAGAGGGCAGAGATTGAGACCACAGCACTTTGGATTCGAGATTTGCTGCT